AAAAGAATCCCCACGGCCACACGTAAGCTTCGTGAATTTGGGCTTCAAAAGGTTTTTTATATATTATACATAATTTAGCCTCACATGTCATACATTGCCAACCAATCAATTATTATGTTGACTATATATTTGTCCATGAACATAATTTTTTTCAATTATAAATTATTATCCATTTCAATGTATACTTATGCCAATACATCATGAAAATTAAGTTTTTAACTTACGGCTTAGTTTATGCATTGATTGTACTCTATATTTTTAATTATATAAACATAAATTCTTATAAGATACAACTTAATAGTTAACCATATCAATCCGTTGTACTGATAAGACGCGAGTGTGTACGATTGGGAACAAGAAGAGATAAAACGTATTTTTATTCAATCAAGGTCTATCGGCCAAGCCCGCAAACGATTGAGAACAAGAAGAGATAAAACGTATTTTTATTCAATCAAGGCCTATCGGCCAAGCCCGCAAAACAGATAAATATAGAGCATCGAAAAATCTTAAAATACTTAACTTACCCACTAAAAAAAGGACTAAGTAAATAAAAATAATAATTCACTTATCAAACCAACTAAATAAAAAATAGGAAACTAATAAATAGGATAGCAATAGATAATAACTAATGATGTCGACGATCTCATTTCTTCAAGAAGGCAAGTAAGATCTCATCGCTATCATTCTCCTCCGGTTGAGAAAGATTCGCCCTCGAATCTGACCCGATCTCGTCGTCGTCCGAGTTGTCGCCGCATAAAGGAACAAGATGCTTCACACTGAAGACGTCTGAGGTTCGAATGTGAGATGGAAGACGAAGCCGATACTCATTAAGATTAATATTCTCCACGATCTTGATAGGATCGATCTTCCTGGCGGACACCTTGTTATACTCGTGGACAACAAAACGATCCGTAGTCAACACAACCCATACGTAGTCGCCCACCTCAAACTTCACATGGCGCAGACGAATATCCGCATGCCGCTTATATGCGGTCGTCGTCTCCTCGAGATGCGCCCGAGTCGTATCGTGCGTCCGACGTAAATCCTCCATGGAGTCCTTTGTGCGGCGGTCGGAAGGCTTGAAAAAAGCTAACACCAACAAGTCAGCGGGCGCACGCAGTTGAACCGCATAAACAACCAGGAATGGTGACATCTTCGTGGCCCAACTCACCGCAGAGTTATGTGCAAACTCCACCCGACTAAGCCGCTAATCCCAACTACGCAAATTCTCACCCACCAAGCAACAAAGCAAATTACCGAGAGATCTATTGATGACCTCAATCTGACCGTCAGTCTGCGGGTGATAAGCGCTACTAAAATCTAACCTTGTATTCGCCAAGCGCCACAAACTCCCCCAAAAGAAACTAAGAAATCGCGTGTTTTGATTGGAAACAGTGCACGAGGGAAGACCATGCAAACCATATGCCTCACGGAAGAACAACTGGGCAACGTGGATGGCATCCATGGTCCGCTTGCAGGGAATAGAATGGACCATCTTCGAAAAGCGGTCAATGACCACAAAGATCGAGTCGTGACCCCTTTGAGTACATGGCCCCAAGAAAGTCCATGCTAATCGCACTCCATGGCTGCGATGGAATAGGCAACGGGTTATAAAGTCCGGCGTTGGACGCCACACCCTTGGACACTTGACATACCCGACAGCGCTCGATAAAGGGCGAAACATCACGCAACAAAGAAGGCCAGAAAATGAGCGCTAGACCAACTCGATGGAGCGATCCCGACCCACGTGCCCGGCGCCATGCAGATCCGCGATCAGCTTCAGTCGCAAACTACAGTCCAGAATGCACAAATGCACGCCCCGAAAAGAAATTAATCCGAAAGGACATAGACCTCATAAAGACCAAGCGCGAGACGAGAAAAAAATCAGACCAAAAAAAGGATCTGGCGCATGTAGATCACGCAGCAAATCGAAGCCCGCCACTGCAACACGCATATCAGTCAGGACCAAGAAACGACGACTCAAAGCATCGGCACACGATTAGAAGCCCCTGAATGGTGCTTTAGCACGAACGTGAAATGCTGCAAGTAAACATGTTAAAATGGGCAGAGGCATGCGGGCCGGCCCGCCCAACCCTGTCAAAAAGGTGTGTTAGGCTGGGATTGTCAGGCTTGCTAAAGAGAGGGCTTAAACGGGCCAGCCAGTGCAGACCGCGGACTTTGGCAGGCCAGGCCAAGTGGGCCGCTGGGTGGCCCGCCTTTCAAAAAATATAAGACACGACACACACACCAATATCTCATATCTATACACTTACTAATATCTCATCATATGTGGCCCTCAGTTCTCTCGTACAGAGAGGTTCCAACTTCTAAGTTTCAGCCTTCCAAAACTCTTCCAAAACAATGATGAGGTGTCCAATTTGAGATCNTATGAGGGACTTGCGAATCAAGTAGGCACTAAAAATTCCAAAAAACCTAGTATCATAGCTTGTTGGCGGCAAGAAGGAGCAGGTTTCCGCGGGCTCAACATCGCAAGGAATAGCTTCTATCTGGAGGGTGGCGGCGAGAAACAAAGAAGGAGAGAGCACGGGGCGGCTTCAGCTCTGCTTCCGCATGGGAGAGGCGTGAGGAGAAAAATTTAGATCTATGTTTGAATTCTTGAATAACTTCTCAAATTTTAACTTTTTAGGTATTTGTTTAAATGTTAGAAGAGTGGTTTGATTACAATTTACAAGTGTGAAATGATATTATTAAAAACTGAAAACACTATGGAGATGAGATGAAGATGCGAGGTAAATAAGAGGCATATATGGTTCTGAATTCTGATCCTTTGCTGAGTTTTTTCTTCCGACACGCCTAGAGATGGTTTTCTCATTTTTATTTGCTTTTTCTTAAAAAAAATGACGGGCCAACCCGCCTAGCCTGCAGCCGTGGCAGGTTGTTCTAGGCTGCCCTTTTTCAAGCCTCGCCCGCCCTACCAAAAGGTAGGTTTTGGCAGGTTGCGGGCTGGCCCTCCCCGCCAGCCCGTTTTGACATGTTTAGCTACAAGTACGAAATCCAAGTAGCATGGCGGGCCGAGATATTATCCTGAGAAGCGAGGTGGCGCAAAGCATAGTGATCAGTGAACAGGACAAACTCCTGCTGGAAAGAGGTAATGACGCTAATATTGCACAGCACGGAAGACAACATCAAAACTCGACATCATAAGTGTTGTAGCGCAACCTAGGGCCCAATAACTTCTCACTAACAAAAGTGGCAGGCCGGGCATCCTGGCTGAAGACTGCTCTAATCTCGGCCTTCGAAGCATCACAGGAGAGCTCAAAAGGCCACGAAATATCGGGTAGAACCAAAATCGGGGCAGTCGTCAACTTCGCCTTGATGAGAGTAAAGGCGTCTGCGGCCTGTAAAGTCCACACAAAGGACTTGCCTATGAGAAAATCCGTAATAGGCGCCGCGATGGAGCTAAAATGAGAGTTAAATTGTCGGTAGAAGGATGCGAGCCTATGGAAGCTACGGGTCTCCGTGAATGACGTCGGTGTCGGCTAATCACGAATTGCCGGCACTTTGCTCTCATCGACACGTATCCCATCTTCCGCAATGACAAAGCCCAAGAAAAAATAGAATCCACCACAAAGAAACACTTCTTCAGCGCGGCAAAGAAAGACTCAGTATGCAAAATGAGCCAAACCGAACGAACATGACCCAAATGCTCCTCTAAAGTGCGGCTATAAATAAGTATGTCATCGAAATAAATGACAACACACTTCCCAATGAGCTCGCGAAGTGCCTGATTCATCACACGCATAAAATTACTTGGCGCACTCGACAGACCAAAGGGCATTGACATCCTCTCAAATAGTCCCTCCCGAATATTGAAAGTAGTTTTCCACTCATCCCCTGGCCGGATGCGAATCTAGTGATATCCACTACGGAGGTCCAATTTGATGAAAATGGAGGCACCATGCAATTGATCCAATAAGTCCTCCAGACGTTGAATAAGAAAGCGATAACTTACGGTGATCTTCTTAATTGCCCTACTATCCATGCACTTATGCCACGAGTTGTCCTTCTTCGAAATAAGAAAGGCCGGCACAGCACATGAACTCAAGCTCCAACGCACCACACCGCGCTGCAAGAGCTCCTTCACTTGGTGCCATAACTCCACATGCTCGGCCGGGCTCATGCGGTAATGCGGTCTGTTCGAAAGAGAGTCACCTGACACTAAGTCGATCTGGTGTTGAATATCATCACACAGAGAAGGTAATCCGGAGAGAAGATAATCTGGAAAGACATCAAAAAATTCAGCGAGCAATGGTCGGATGGCCTCGAGAAGAACACACTCAATCAATGGATCGAACAAATGCTCCTCGGTAAAGGAACAAGACCGAAGAAGAAGTAGTTGCGGACAAAGAACGAGGTGGAGACAGATGCAGAACAATCTTAACACCCTTGAACACAAAGTTCTAGGTGTTAAGACGGCCATCATGCGCAGGCGCATGATCGAACTGCCACGGACGACCCAAGAAAAGGTGACAGGCATCCTTAGGAACGGCATCATACCAAGTCATGTCTCGATATGTGTCTCCAATAGATAAAGAAACCAAAACGCAGCGATCGACTGTGATGGCATTGCCACGCAGTGAGAGTGAATGGCTGAGGATGCGGCTCGTTGGAAAGATGTAACTTCTCCACGGCCTCTTAGTCCACCAAGTTTTCACACGATCCAGAATAAATGATAAAACGACACACCCGACCGCCAATCATGCACGTGGACTCAAAGATGTAGTGTCGCTATACCGACCCATAGGAAGAGACCTGAGGTGCCAAACACGCACGAAGAAGGATTAGTGTCGGGCCCACGTCACCAGTAAGATGTTCATTCGCCACGGGGAATTCATTGTAAAAAAATAAGGGCCTGTTGTACGACACACCGTCGTTCGCCTCTTTGTTGTCCCCGGTGAATAGTGCACGTGATCCACCCGATCTAAGATATGCAGTTTGACGGTGGCTGAGCTCGCCACATGCGAAACAACGCAACCCACCCGTTCTCGCGGCCCCGTCGAAGAACCTGGTTCTTCTTTTGCATGCTGGGACCTGGTGTTGTACCCCAACAGTTCCCACTACCCGCGTCCTCGATCTGCACGGTCGTACCCGACATCAACGTGCGCCCGAGTGCTGATATCGATCCACTTGTGCCAAAGATGGCTCTTTGTCGTGCAGCCAAGAGAAAGGTCAGCCTCGCACGGCGCACCAACTACTGCTCGACGAGAAGAGCCCTCTGATTGGCGTCTGAAACCAAGACGGGCGCGAACAAATTCAGCATGTCCTGGACCGAGACACGCAAGCTCCCAACATAGCGCGAGATGATTTGCTCAATCGTCTCACGCACCTCGACCCTCGTAAGAAGCTGATAAAAATCCTCAGTATACATATTCACCGACCGAGAACCTTGCCACAAATTTTGTAATTGTTGTTAAGTTGTACGAACATTATTTAAGGAAAGAAACTCACGCTCGAGGTGCTTCTGAAATTTCACCCATGCCGAGACCTTCGGTTTCTTGAGCCTGCGACGCGCCTTCTTCATCTGTTGCCACCAAGCGGCAGCCCAGCCACGCAAGTGAGTCGTGACCAACGCCACGCGCCGGTCATTTGGCACCTCTTTGAAGTCGAGTGCAGTCTCGACTTCGGCCATCTAATCCAAAAATTCCGACGCATCTAAGCCACCGATAAATTCTGGAATGTCAACACGAAAAGATTATTCCCATCACTACTCCTCGAGTGGAAAATCATCGTCTGGAGTCAGATGTGCAAACGAGTTTACCTCGGAAAGGGTGTCATCATCGTCACCATCTTCGACCCACAGATTAGGCAACCGAACGCGGGGCGCCCCACGTGCACCTCGGCCGCGACCTCCGTGCGCCCCCCTGTGTCGTATGCCACGGGCACGGTACGTTCGATTGTCTGGAAAAGCAGCATGGCCAGCCAGTCTGTGCTCGAACCCCTCAGCCAACTCCATGGTCCGGCGATCCATGAGGTCGAATTGCCAGCCAAATCCCGCGGTCATCTCTGCGAGTTGCCGGCTTAACATCTCAATGGCAGCATTGACATTGTCGGTCTTCTTTGGCGGCATCATGGAATGTACTAGAATCTAGATACCAACTGACGCGGCGAGCGTGTACGATTAAAAACAAGAAGAAATAAATCTCAAGAGAACGTATATTTATTCAATCAAGGCTGATGGGCCAAGCCCCCAAAACAGATAAATCTATAGAGTGTTGAAGTCTAACTTACCCTAAGAAAAAGACTAAGTAAATAAAAATAATAATTCACTTGACAAACCAACTAAATAAAACATAGGAAACTAATAAATAGGATAACAATAAATAATAACTAATGAGGTCGACGATCTCATTTCTCTAAGAAGGCAAATGTGATCTCGTCGTCATCACTATATAATGTATACGTATATCAGGAAATGATTCTGGGGTTTTGATAAGGAAGACAAGTTCTCTGTTTCTTCTTTCTATGCCTATCTTACTTAGGATAAACTGAAGAAAATGGATTGGACTGAAAGGAGTGCTTCTTCAATGACAACACAATAAAGAATAGGAGTTGGTGCTTGAGGGTCAAGAAAAATAAAAATTTTCATTTGGAAATGTTTTATCAATATAGTTTCTATGAACATCAATATCATGAGGAGGGGGCCTGTAGATCGATGTTTGTTGCAAAGGTTGTGGAGAGGAAGTTGAATCAATTGAGCACCTTTTCTTCAAGCGCCTAAGAGCTCAGAAAGTTTGAAAATTAGCACAGTGCATTAAGATGGGATCAGCTCAAACAGCGGCAACTTCAGACAGTGATGGTGGCAAATTTGTTCCATTAGCCACTCTAAAACTTCATAAGCTAGCATTCAACTTACAACATATATCTTGTGGTGGTTATGAAAGTCTCGTAATTTGTGGATTTTTTAAGATATTTGGCTGAAATAGCAAGATGTGATCAAGGCTGCCATCAAGGAGTGGAAAGAGTATTGTTCAGTTGTTTCTTGTTTCGTCTCTTTAACTCAATTTTAAGCTAGGCCCTTAAGACAATGGGTTGAGTTGAGTTCTTTTTTTTTCTTTGTTTAGTTTTCTTTAAGTTTTCGATTTTTTGGGTCTTCAATTATTCATTATTTTTTAAATTTCGCTCAACCCTAGCTGTAAAATCCTCCTCCTTTTTCTTCTCTGCTTTTCTTCAAAACCCTAAGGTTCTTCCTTTTGATGTCCTTCTCCCTTATTTTTCATATTCCAGTACTTATAGTGAGAACGATCGTTACTACGGCAAGGATATGAGTTCTGCGTCATCATCCCCAACTTTCTGACCTATTCCTCATTCTCCTTCCATTCTGTCGACGAAGTTTACCAAGTTATCCCTCTCCTTGTGCTTCGGCCTGCCGATGACTCTACGCCTACTCCACCGCCTCAACCTCATCGTCTGATTGATGAATAAGATGAGGATACTCTCGATCATGTCCTCTCACCCGTCGTCGTTGGCCTGTTTTCGGTGCTTCTGATGCGGTTGAAGCAGCCCTAGATGCCGCCGAGGCTGTTCGTGAGGGAGATGAGGATCATATTCCTCTATCTCATCATTCCATCTCCTCTAAACTCCCATCTTCAAGCAAGTCCAAAACGACCATGACCTCTACGCCCAAATCTAAATCATCGACCGCCCATGCTTCTTCTAAACCTCGGGTCTCTTTGTAGCTAGTTGTAGGATTCAGTTGCTTATCTGCATGTGGCTCCCTTTTGTCTAGGTTTTCCATGGCACATTCATGGTGTTCAACTCATGGTATCTTTCTTTCTCATTTGAGTTGTAGTCAGGTTTTACCGGTTGTAGTTGATTTTTGTTTCGTCTTGTTTTGTTATATAAGTTTCTTTATTGTTTTGAAGAAAAAAGTATATTAGTAAATGTTATATTTTTAATCTTTTGGAATATAATATTTTAGTTTTAAAGTATAGATACCGTTGAAAAAGTTAGCTGGCTAGTTTTTTTTTTT